GATGTGGATTCCTTTTCAATTAAAGACGAATTATAGAAAAAAAAAAGGTTTTATGAAGTCAGCTTTAAAAAAGATGCCAAAGAGATGTGGATTCCTTTAAATTAAACAGACGAAATTATAGAAAAAGAAGGTTATGAAGTCAGCTTTAAAAAGATGCCAAAGAGATGTGGATTCCTTTAAATTAACAGACGAATTATAAAAAATGAAGTCAGCTTTAAAAAGACCTGTGGATTCCTTTAATAACAGACGAATTATAGAAAAAAAAGGGTTATGAAGTCAGCTTTAAAAAGATGCAAAGAGATGTGGATTCCTTTAAATTAACAGACGAATTATAGAAAAAAGGTTATGAAGTCAGATTTAAAAGATGCCAAAGAGATGGTGGATTCCTTTAAATTAACAGACGAATTATAGAAAAAAAATGAAGAGAAGAATGCCAAAAAGGTAAATCACATCAAAGGGAACAGTTTTAAAATGAAAGGGTGGTAATGAGACCACGACTCACCTGGGTCGCTTGAATATAATTTTCTCGAGAGGAACTGCCGTGAGCGAGAGCAACAGGGCGAATAAGGGAAAGGAAGACGGTGCCGCAGGTCTGGATAATCTGGTGAAAGAAAATTCTTACATTTATCATTGTTATTCATAATTATTTATCATGCTTCCAGTTTTTTTAATGTACTGAATTTGAGTATACTATATTTCTGAGAAGGATTTCTTTGTACTAGTTCTTTCAGTTTGCTTTCCTGTGTATCTATGCAAATCATCAATATAATATCTATCTTCATCAAATAATATATTTGTTTTTTGTTTTGTTTTGTTCTGAATCTCTTAACAGAATGCTTTGAAATGACATTTTTGTTTCACGAATTAAAGAATCTAAACACTTTACCTTTTCACATGGGTGAAATAGAGAAGGTCCTTGGTGTTGAAAATCAGAATGATCTGAATGGGAAGCGCGACGAGGTACATGCAGTATGTGAGGCGAGAGAGAGGCTGCCACGAAGGATGAGAGAGGAAAGTATTCACTGCACCTGCGAAAAAAGAAGAAAAAGAAACACAAACTATAAACTGTATCTTTAAAAGTCAATGAAAGAGGCATAATGGGGTCGTTCTGCTGACTGACCATGTGGCTGTTTACACACGGAGAGTCCTGTTCGAGACTTCGAATCCTACTCCATTCTGAAGTAAATCCTTAAATTCTTAAGGTTTAGTCATGGATTCTTATAATAATTTGCTGTTGTGCAGCATTTCCTTTCTTCCTTTGACAAAAAACAGAAAATTCTCGCAGGAATCATCAACGTTTCAAGGGTTTAGTCACACCTTTATTAGACTTGAATAATTTTCATTAGCATAGGTATATATGTTATATATATGTATATATATATATATATATATACACGTACATATATATGTATATATATGTATATATACATATATATGTATGGATATATACACCTACGCACACACACACACATATATATGTATATATGTGTGTGTGAATTTCCATATGAAAGAAAAACGGCACACACCTCCGTAGCCGAAGTGACAAGCCACACCACCCAAGCCAGAGCGAGACACAAACGCCCCTGTGGAGACCGCCGTACAAGACCTGGGTTATCGGGTCATAGTAATAGGTGGTTCCTATGTGGTTGTAACTCCACGCGCCGAGCAACACCGCCAGAGCCGAAAATACGGCCACCGTCCAGCCCGTCAATACCTGCACCTGGATTTAAGCATACAAGTATTTACCATTTTACTCGCTAACTCTTAAGCAAAATCAACATAAGGATAAGCAGGAAATGAGTGAAATATCTCCAAAAAGCTGGCTATATACACTTTTTTGTATCATCTTACAGGAGACAAGACGAGTTTCTTTGATCCCTGGTTGAAGATGATGTAGCCAGTCCAGATGCCCACGATGTAGGCGCTCATGCGGCACCACGGAGTGTAGTATACCTTCCTCTCATAGCCTGTGTTGTCAACGTTGCTGTGGAATATGAATGAAAATAAATTCTGCTGGTGGCTAAGATGGATGGCGCTTCATTTCGTGCCCTAAATCAAATGTAAATAAGAATTTGTTGCAAACTTTTTAACTTCTTTCTCTGTTTCACTCATATAATGAAAGGAGAATGAATGGAGACACTCTTGTGAACGGAATGACGGTTTAATTCAACTTATGAACTTAGAAGGGAGAGGCCAAAGTCATCTTTTGAACCGCTGATGAAAAGGGGGTCACGATAAGAGTTCACTTACTCATCACCGCCCCAGATCGACCCGGAGGAAGGTCGTAGGCGTAGGTAACAGCTGCTGGGATTATGAAGGACACCAGAGTTACCAGGAACAGCAGAATCTTCCCTGGAGTAAACAGATTAGAATCCCTGTCATTGAGGCGACGCAAAAAGTAAATTATAGAATAAAATATGTATTTTTTATCCTACAGTTACATAAGGATAGAGAAAGAGGTACAAAAGCAGCTAAAGATCCAAAATCTTTCGAGTAAGGGAAGAGGGGGCCAACAGTACCTTTGGAGGGGTAGAAGGCGAGGGGCAGCAGCACGAAAGGAGCCACCAGGTACAGCTGGGTGTCCACGGCGGTGTACCAGCACTGGCCGAGGCACTGCACAGACACGGGGAAGGTACAGTCATAAAGGGAATTATAGGAAAATGAAAATAAATTACGATATGAGTGACTTCAACAGCATGTGCTTATGAGTATATGTATGACCATATTAATATATATTATATATATTATATATATATATATATATATATATATATATATATATATATATATATATATATATATATAATATATGCTGGGGGTGGGCACGACACCTCTTTTCGCGACGGCTCTGCCAGCAGCAATCATTCACCGTGTAGAGGCAGACAGTCATAACCACTTACATCTGTTAAAGTATTAGTGGTAGCGTTGAAAGCGAGGAAATTATTGACGTAGAGGACATCCATCCACCAATTGTCAGAGCAACTCTTATAAAGGGTATTCACGGAAGGCGCTAGGGGCCTGACGGTATGAAACGAGCGACCGTCGCCAGGAAGAGCGTGACAACAGCAATTGGGGGTGTTAGCCTGAAAGGGAGCGTTCGTATAAGGGAAGAGAGAGAAAGCGGTTGCCTGATCTTTCATTCGGAGCATAAATCTATTGTATTTCTTCAGCACTCAACTTCATCTCAACTGTTAATCTTTATAACGTATCTTACTGCATCTAATTCATATCCCTAACTTTTATGGAGCACATTATCTAAAGCAAGCCGAGAAGATAGGCTTTCGAACACAACAACCAAAACATTAGCCCTCTTAAATCGGGTCATTCATTACCTGATAAGTCTGTGGTACATGATGATGTTCAGTTTGCCCGTCCTCTTGATCTCCTTCAGGACGCCGTAGCTCACCAGAAGCCCCGACAGGAATAAAAGGAGTCCGTGCTCACTGTGGCGTTGAAGATAATTTGGAAGAACAGTCCGCTCGTCCACTGCGGGAGAGACGCCATTCGGAACAGACTTCGACAAGTTGAGAAAAAAGACGTAATAGGGCTGTTTACAAGCGCTTCTTTTCATCAGTTCATTTTTTATTTTATTTTATTTATACATTTATTTATTTATATATTTTTTATTTTATTTATTTATTTTTTATATAAAGATGAGCTTCTTTTCATCAGTTTTTTTTTTATTTTATTTATTTTTCATGTATTGTATTTCCATATTCCACAAAAATATCAATGGCATACCTTGCCTATATGAGAGTAGTTGTAAGAGATCAAAATATCGAAAAGATACTGATGACCAAGGATTACCCAGCCCATCGACAAGACCCTGTTGAGAAGTGGATAAAAAATTAGTGTGACTGTGTGTGTGTGTGTGTGTGTGTGTGTGTGTGTGTGTGTGTGTGTGTGTGTGTGTTGTGTGTGTGTGTGTGTGTGTGTGTGTGTGTGTGTGTGTGTGTGTGTGTGTGTGTGTGTGTGTGTGTGTGTGTGTGTGTGTGTGTGTGTGTGTGTGTGTGTGTGTGTGTGTGTGTGTGTGTGTGTGGTGTGTGTGTGTGTGTGTGTGTGTGTGTGTGTGTGTGTGTGTGTGTGTGTAAGTATAGGTGTATTTCGAGGGACATGCTTTATTTACCTAGTTAATGATTTATTGCTAGGTTGGCACATATGACCAGATTCAGGTAAATACATCGGAAAAGCACCTCATTCCGGTGAGACAGGTGATTATCCCGGGTCGAGGCTCCGTTGTTATAAGGAACATTTTCTCCAAGTTGGTGTACACGGAGAAGGGCAGGAGGAACCGGGCGCCTGTCGGTAACAATAGATATGATACATTTGACGCACACACACGCCACACGCACACGCACACGCACACGCACACGCACACGCACACGCACACGCACACGCACACACACACACACACACCACCACACACACACACACACACACACACACACACACACACACACACACACACACACACCATACACATACACATACACATACACACACACACACACACACAACATATATATATATATATATATATATATATATATATATATATATATATATATATTATTATATGTGTGAGAGAGACAGAGAGAAAGAGATGAAAAAACAATCTTGTAGTAATAGTAGTATTAGGTGTTGTAATAATGATAATAATGATAGTGCAATATTAATAATATTAATGGTAATAATAATAATAATAATGATTTTAATTAATAACAGTAATAGTAATAATGATAATAATGATAATAAAGAAACCATGGATAATAGTAAAAACAAAGATAAAGAGAGTAATAGGATAATAAGTATAACAATAAGAGTAATAACTTTAACCTGGATATCATAAACCTATCCTGCTTTACCTGTGGCAGTGGCAGACCTCTTGGCGAAGCGGCAGAATACGTCGATGACAGTGCCAATCACCATCAGTGCCAACATGATGCTTAGGAAACTTCTGCAGGTAGAACGAGCCTGTGTCACTTCAGTAAACATTTTCCGTTAATTTTTCGTTTCAATCAGTATGCATTTGTTTATTTTTTCCATCTATGTGTTTATTCGTGTATCTTTTCTAATTCTTATTGCTGTTTCTATTCATTGATTTATAAACTGGTGATGTAGTGAGAGAGTAAATATTTTATGTGTTCTTGTGTATGTATCTGCCTGTGTGTTTCTCATTATGATTCATTGGACATTTTTACTCACATGACAGCGATATCCGCGCCGGTAAACTGAGGTGTCTCGTCCAGCGTCTGACACATGACACTCACTTCTTTAATGCATCGAAGCTTTACTCAGCTTGTCTGAGCAG